TACCGGCGTCGGCGAGGAGCGATGCTGCGCGAGCCCCTCCGGTTAGGGCTCCGTCTCGCAGGCCGAATTAAAAACCAGAGCAACCCGCTCCCCTGCCCCCCGAAAAACCCGGGGGCGGCTTGCTTTTTTTTTCGCTCGGCCCCTCTGCAAGCGTGCAGCTTGACTCTAGTACCGCGGAGCCTGCCGTCGGCGGAGCGGGCTCCCCGGCGGGAGAGGAGCTACGGCTGTAAATTACTCTGTGGTCGCGAGGCGTTTGCTGTATTGCTCCAGCGCATTTTTTCGAACCCGAGGAATAACAGGCTGTACAGGGCTCGCAGCGATGGCACCCGGTTGCAGCGGGGAGACATTTTTTTGAGATTGTGTGGTAACTGAAGTTAATCAGCCCTGCAGCCCCCTCCCTCTCCCCCTCCCTTTGGTGCTTTTAGTGAATCAGAAAGAGTTTGGCTCGCTGCCTGGAAAGCACTTGCTAAAATCTGATCTCTTACTTCAGCAGCCTTAAAACTTGGGAAGTTATTGGCATTTATACAGTTGGAGCTTGCAGGCTTCCAAAGCAATAAAATAATAATAATAATAAAAAAAGAAAGAAACTCTGCGCTCTCTTACTATTAGAACCATACTTCCTCGATTTAGTGCTGATTTTGCAGCGTTTTGCAGGATTTGACGTTCGGACTCGCTCCGAATGGGAGCTCTGGAGGTATCTTCTCTCAGCCCTCGGAGGGGTGGTGGATCTAGCCGGGTGTTGTAACGAGAGGCACGCTATTACGGCTATTAGTGTTGGGAGCCAAAACATTAGATTAGTCATACTCAAGGGCCTTCAAGTGAGTGTTTACAGTATTAATGGTAGATGAAAAGATGTGAATGCTGTAAGTTTTTATTGCCCATTTTGTTACACTTTCTTTCTGGATTTATTCACGGGATTACATGTTTTGAGCCTGAATGGGGGAGAGGGATTATAGGATTTCTTTTACAATGATCAGTTTGGGTAGGAGTTAGCCTTTGGTGAACTAGAGTAAATTAATGCATCGCTTAGATTTAATATTTATTTAGGCTAAAGGAAATTGTTTAGTTTTGCTTAAAGAGCTCTGTGTTGTATTGGGGAGATTTAAGAATGCCTAAAATGGATTATATCATAAGGCCGACTTTCTCCCTCCTGTGGAAGTCACGATCAGTGCCTTAGTCTGCGTATTGTTGTTAGAACGATGCCCCTTTGCTTCTGCATCTTACTTTGTGGTTTTGCCTGCAACGGCAAAAATACCTCTAGCCCTCTTCAGAGCATGGTTTGGATAATTTGTATCTTATATTAGTTATTCGTATGTTAAGAGTTTTGCCAGGGTGCGATGTACTGACACGTCAGGCGTGTGCAGTTAGATGATAGTTTAGCTCACCTGCTGGCTAAACTCTTTCTCGTGGCCTCTCCGAATATTGCAGCCACCTGTAAATTAACTCCGTTTGTCCCGTCTGATCCATTTGTCCCACCACCACGTCGTCACGGCCCTTCCGGTCGTTCAGCTTCACGCCGTGGGTCGGTTGTTGCGCTGAGATGGGTGTTGGCCATCGGGGGCGACGTGGAGGTCAGAGGAAGCCAAACCAGCGTGGGGATTTGCAGGACCAGTTTTCGGACTCCTCAGGAGCTCTGGTAGCGTGTGGGAGCTCCGACAAGGGACGCCCCAAGGAGGAGCGTGCGGCGGGTTAGAGGAACGGCGGGCGCTGTGGCTGGCAGGAGCCTCTGGAGGAGGGAGTTGAGCTTTGGGCCTGGGCGGCCTGCGCTGGTGGCAGCGTGCCGGCGTGCTGCAGCGCAGACCAGCGCTCTGGCTCCGCCGAGCCGGCCTGCAAGGAGGGCAGCTCGTTTTCCAGTTTCTTACCCCAGCGGCAGTAACGTCCCCAGCTGGCTTCCTCCTCTTGCATCTCGGGAGCTTCCTCGGCTGCTTGGGGCTGTTGCAGTCCCACAGGCAGAGGCAAAGTAGACGTCCTTGGCAATGCTGCAGGTACTCCAGGTTGTTCGTAGGGATGCCCTTTTTCTCTCCGTTCCCCGTGTCTTGTGTCTTTCCGGGCCTCTTGGGTGCTGGGCCGTGCCTGCTGCCGGGCAGGAGCAGCCCCGCGGCTGGGCTTCGGGCCAGCCC